AAAGCCTAGCCGCGCCTTGACCTATAGGCCAAAGCTCCATTATCATCCAAGCCATTCAACTCTGCACAGATCACTGCTGTGTACCGCAGAACAAAATTGCGGGGGAAGGAAGTGTGCCTGCTTGCGAGGGAAGCCAGCGTCTTCAATATCTACAAGCCAAGATTCAGTAGGCAACCACAACTACATTATCTAGCTCGATGACGTGAGCGACAACATCAATTAATTTACGAACCCTCGCGCATTGGATTTGGCGTGCGCAACCTTCGAGACAGACAAAAGTTGAAACATGGGCTGAACTTGGATTTGTTTTTCTTCTCTTTCAGAAGAATCGCACCTGATCTGAGTTCAACCAATGAACCCTTTGAGCCCAGGTTCTGGTTGGAAGGTTAAAACTGGATTTCACTGGGATTGAATTTGGGTTCAATCTGAATTGAACTTGGGTTTGAACCTGGATTTGAACCTGGATTGAACCTAGATTGAACTTGGGTTGAATCCGGCTTTGCACTGGGTTCGATGTAGATGTTGCTCTTGGAGTTGAATTTTAATTTTGGTTTACTTGGGTTCGAACCTCCCCTTTCGATATTTGCTCTCATTCAAGATTCAAGTGCATTTCATTTTGTTTACTCGCTGTTGTTCCTTTCATTTATCGCACCCCTAAAAGCTAATTCGTGTGGCTTCTCGTTTAGTTGGACAAGACGTTTTACTGAAATTTGTTTTTTGCTTTCTTCGCTGCGCTTTCTCCTCCGTCTTCTTGGGTGTGGGACAAGACGTTTTAATTCTTTATGTGTTTAATGTTCTTCGCTTTGTAATCCTTAAGCGAATTCGTGTGGTTTATCCCTCTTGTGTGTCGGAGAAGACGTGTTCGTTCATACGAGGTTCAATTACATTTCAATTTGTTTTCTTCGCTTTTCACACCCCAAAGCGAGTACGTTTGGCTTTCTGCTTCTTGCCTGTCGGAGAAGCCGTTTCTGGGTTGAGTCCAGGTTCGAACCTGGGTTGAACCTGGGGGACCTCTGGAGTTGAACCTGGGTTCGAACACCCTTGTTCGATGGCACCAGTGGACGGCTTCTCACCTGGTCCTTGGGTAGGGCGCAGACGACAGCCTTGCTTTACCTCTCAACGTCGCTGAGTGGCGCAAGTATTTGAAAGTGAATCGTGCAGTACATGCTGACATGTGCCAGGGACATGTTTTTCAGAAACTGAAAATGAATGCTTCATGAGCTCGCATTCCAATTTTTCACGAACCACAGATTGGCTTTGCGAAATGACATGTGACGTAAGCTGTTTCTGTCTGCTGCCTAGCTAGCTACCTATCTTGACATACGTAACCACTTCGGCCCATACTGTAATATATTGTAAAAGTGCTTCGGCGAGAGCGACGCAGCAACGCAAGAGCATAACGAGGGCGCTCGTTCGCGGCTTGGAGTGAGCACGGCATCCAGGCCAGAGACATGCGACCCAAAGCAGGAAAACACAAGAAATCAAAAACACACAACAGTTAAATTGGCACACAAACAGCCATGAGATGCGTTGTATACTCAATCGAAAAGAAGCCTATCCATTCTGCAGCGGCCGGCACGCGCCAGGCCAACTTCATGAAGAAGAAAATTGCGACAGAGCCAGACTTGTCAGTGAGAGGGCGGGAAGCAACACACATGAAACACCCACAGAGCAGCCGTACATGTTTCGTGGATGCTTGTGACCGCGGTTCGGACATGGATTCTGTGCAATCAGCACCGCCAATTTCCGACCCAATTCCCCGCAAAGCGGCGGGTCGGTGTTGTCGGGTGCAGCAACAGCAAGTATTCTTGTAGTCGCGATGGGGTCGTCGTTTGCGTTCTGCATGGAGTGGACGCCAAAAGCAAGCGTGGCAAACGGCAACAGTGCATCGGCAACCATACATGAAGCAAAAAGCAGGACACATCAAAGTATACAGCGGGTGTGTGTGTGTGCTGTCGGAGTCGATGGCTTCCAACAGCGATGGCTTGGCCGCTGCTCAGCGGCTCGCTGCAATGTTTGGGCTGCAAAAGTTCTGGAGTCTTGGGTTGTTTACATTCTTCTGCGTGTGCAACCTCCATTTTGAGGTTCCCGGGTGGTGGAGAAGAGGGACAATGCAGAGGTGGTTTTCAATCCGTGCTTGGACATGACCGCTAGGCGTATCTTGACCTGACAGGTCAAGCCCGTGCAGCTGATGCCAAAAATGCCATTGAATGTGTCTCAGAAAGTCTTGTGTAGTGTAATTGTCGTGCTGCGCAAGAGCTGGGTAAAAAAAATCCAAGGAATGGACCGTCAGGACACCTTCAGGCAGAAATTCTACTTGGAAAGTCTGGCGAATTTGATTTGCGTGTGGCACTCAAGAGGTTCGGTAATTGCCCAAAATGCTAGCATTTCTCATGCAAGACAGTTGTCAAGGATTGACTTCAAAACGTCTTGTGGCATGCTCAGGGATGCCTTACCGTCTCCAAACCAATGTTTCGCATCTGCACTCTGCAAGCATCGGTGCTGGTGCGTCTGTGAGAACACACCGAGGCACAGAACTTGTCCCGAACTCCTGCAACTGCCCGCTTGCATAGGCTGTGCGTCGAAATCGCGAGCCAAATGTTTGGTGCACAAGCCAAGTTGCCAAGTTTCAGAAAACATGCAGGCCTCTCCCACCGTTGCTCGAAAGCTGCGAGTCAAGGAGACCTCGTTCTGCAAGGTTAAATCTTCTTGTAACATCATATGTGCCTTCTTTTGACAGGACGCACAGACAGCGTCGCACAGGACAAGCAGACCACTCAAATGACCATTCGCAACGAGTGTTGAGCATGTATTTGGAAATGCAGCTTCGGCTATCCTGTTCAAGTGGCACTCTGTGATTTGTTGAGTTCAGGGCGAGTTTGCAAATGATCTCCATAAAATCGCTCGTGCCTGAGCCGGGCATTTCAACTGACAGCGAGATTGGCATTAGCAGCGGAACACTGACAAGGACCATTTGCATTTGGTCCACTCCCTTCCTGATGATGTGCTGTCCTTAGTGTTTTGAAGCCCCACTTCCAGCACAGGTTCTGCTTGTCCCAGGGAACGGGGTCCCACGCCACAGACCAGGCTGACGCTGAAAGGCACACTTCAGATTTGTGTAGCGACAGACAGAATTCTGTGAACACTTTTCGGAGGCCCGATCAAATTTCCTTGCAGGAGCTTGGTGTGCCAGCGGCCCAGGATGTCCCTTCGAAGCCCTCAGAACATTCCTTCTGCTCCGAGACCTGCGCATGATGTCACCTCATTGATGGCAGGCTGGAATGTGTGCAAGTAGCACAAGGCTGCTTATTTTGATTGTTTGCTCCACGTGAGGCACGACCAGCAGTCGAAGCTTGTTCTCGAACGTGGCCTCTTCAGAAGTCCACTTCTGATCTGACGTAGTCTTCGAAGCGAAGTGTGAGTCCGGAATGCGGGTGGTCGTGGATGGTCCATAACTCTCAGGCAAGCTTGACATCCGCATCGCAGGTCTCAGTCTCGCTCAGGCCAGCAAACTCTCACGAGTGCATGTAAAAGTTGATCGGCTCAGTGTAGAAGCTGCAATTTATGTCTCTGCTCCATTTGCTCTTTTTGGTCATTGGATCGCATAACCTCGCCTCAGTTGCCAGAGCCTTCTGCCAAGGCGTGATGCAGACGCCTTGGTGAGATTCCCAGTGCTCCGATTGATCCGGCCGCCATGGTCAACGAGCACAGTCATCGAGCCGATGTTGTAGTGGAATGTTCTGTTGAAAGGCGACGGCTTGTCAGCGGCTGAAGTCGCCACCTCAGACAGTTTCGGTCATGGACTGGTTCAAGCACTGGTTCTGGCCAGGCGGCCGAATTGCTCGAGCCGGAGCCAGAGATCAGACGTGCGGCGCTAGGCGGTTGAGGGCTCGTTTCGTGCTTGCCGCAGCATCCGGAAGGTTCTTGTCGGAGAGCCTGAACCTTGGGTTCTAGACCGCCGGCGGCCCAAACTTTTTGAACTCGTTGCGCGCGTTCGCCTGCTGCAAGCAGAACACGGCTACCACCAGGCCTGAAGGCCTGCTTTCAGCACTCGTTTTCCGAGGTGAAGGCAGTCCCGAATTGATCCCACAAGCTGCAAGCACAGAACTTGGGTGGAGGCTCAACTTCTTGAGATGGAACGCGTTCTGACTGGGCCGAACAAAGAAGGACCCGTGCTTTGCCCAATTGCGAGAACCGTAGATGACAGAGTCTCCGGTGAAAGGCGACGGTGATGACGACACTTCAGTACTGGTCCTGGCCTTGTCTCTGGGTTTAAAGCAGAACACTTCGAGCATCTGCGGGTCCTCGTGATGTGCGGCGTGTGTGCAGGCGACAGACCTTTGTGCTTCAGTCCAAGTCACGTGTCGTCTTTGGAGGGTGCAGAGTCGACAGAGACACCGTGCAGTGTCTCATCACACCTGGCCTGTGTCACCCACACGGCCTAAATCCTGAAGATCTGCCGGCCTCTGCTCTGGATTGGCCGGGAAGATGACTGATGCGGAGGCGTCTGCGAGCTGTACCACCTAGTCTCGGCAGTGTTGCCCTCCCATCACAATAAGCTCAACTTCTATGTTGGGGCGGGGGGGGGGGGTCGATCGCCTGTGCTAAGGCGGCTAAGAAGCCAAACAGACTAAAGGAGAAAGAGAGGCGTTTGAAAAAGGCTGAGGCACGGACGCGGTGGCACGAACACCTTGTTGAACACATTCTGCCTCGCAGGCAGCAGCAGCCCAAGCGAGTCAAGCTGGGGAGGTGCTGCAGCACGTGGCTTCTATGCAGGACCGCTGTGCTTTGAGAGGGCGTCTCGTGTTTGCTCAACGTCGCAGGCTGCTTTCGATGCTTCTGGACTCGAGGGCTGGGAGCAGCCGCCGGCCTGACATGTGCTTCTAAGAGACGGCCATAGGCACGCATTGCAATGCATTGCAGGCAGCATCAAGCTGAGGCCAGGCCTGCCATGTTTTTGGGTCTCCGTCTGGCTGTTGCTGTGCTTACAGGTGAAAGCCATGACCTCCACCACCAGGCCTGTGCTACAAGAGACTGATGCTCACGGTTTCGATGGCTCGAAGCAGAGGTCAATGCAGCTTCATCCTCTGGCCGCGTCTGTCACTGCACAGGACGCTCCGATGGAGTGCTGTGTCTAGCAAGCATGACGGCCATACACTTGCAGCAACTGCAGTCCTTGACCTCCTTTTCAGGCGATCGCAGAGTCAAGCGACAAAGACGAAGAGGACGAGGAGGCGGCCAATAAGATTCACTTGAGTACTCGTGTCCACAGCCTGCGAAACAGTCCATCGCAGGAGAATCCGGAAGAGGAACTTGCGACCTCCTCCGATGTCGAGGTGCAGATGAACAAACGCTTGAGGTTGACATTGTGTGAATCGAAGAGGCCTTCCGCAGCGGACAGATGTTGTGTTTTGTGCGGCGGCTTTGTGGCCTGCCACTGGTGGATCTCAATCTGCATTTCGAGGCGCGGTGTGACAAGCGCAGGGCCAGGGTACGTCTGACCGCGCTGAGACACTGTGCTCTGAGTGAATCGCTCCCGACGCTAGCGGTTCTCAGATTCATGTAAATGGCTGCGGCTCCTCCGCTGCAGCGGGTTCCCCTCGTCACCTGAGCGCACCTAATCACGAAAACTATAATGCACTGGAGGAGTAGGACTGAGTAGCATTCAACCGAGGCAGTCAAGTCAAGACAAGACGAACGAATCCTCAACTGATGGGCATCAGAGCTGGAAATGATACTGTAAATCTAGTCACGTACTAGTAGTCATACATTATGAGCAGCTCAGCAGTTTGACTCCAAACCTAAGCCCAGTAAGGGAAGATGACGTTTGAAATTTGCACCGTACCCAGAGGACAGCATGCGGTTTTAAGAACAACTCATAACCACTCCATGTTCAAGTTGCTCATGGTGATCATAATTTAAGGGGCTGCGCCCAGAGTCGGGCAACGCAGGCAATTCATTCATGCATTCCTTAATTCGTTCGTTCGTTCATTCATTCAATCAATCCATCAAAAAATTTTTCAATCAATCAATCATTCATTCAATCATTCATTCATTCACTCATTCATTGGGCGGGGGGCAGGGAAGGTGCGCGTGGGGGGGGAGGGGGGACGCGCATCATCAGCATCATTGCGGGCGCGGGGGCACCGATTTGAGGCCTTCCGGTATACCCCTCCCGACCTCCGAAAACATTGGCTTGCGCCTGCCTGCGCGCCTGCCTGCGCCTCATGGGCCGCAGAGCGCGCGCGCCGGGTGCTCATGGTGCTCGCCGCGTGCCGCTGTCATGCGCGGGTGCCCCAAAACACGCCATAGCATGGGGAATGGCCGTAAAACGTGCGCCTTGCCGGGTAAGCCTCCCAACCAGGTCCCGCCCAAACGAGGGTCCACGGGGCGGGTCGGCGGCATTGCCTTCCGACCTATAGCAAAGCTAGGGCCATGGCCTTACGGGCGGAAACCCTAGGGCGTTAACCGATTTAAATGGCTGCCGCCAGTGCCGCCGACCCCAGAAACCAACACCCTGGCATAAGTCGTCTGGAACTGGACTCCGTGGCACTATCAGAGGCGACTGCCGAGGCCACGGCAACAAGGCTTTCAGCGCAGAGGGACGTTTGCTGTGTTTTAAGGTTTGGCGGGTCTAAAGGCCCTACCACTCCGAAGCCCAAAACCCCCTAGGCCTGGATATGCACACTCAGGGGACAGGCACGGATCTGGAGCACCATGCCTGGCACTTCCAGGGACCGTTTTTTGAACGCCAGCGCTTAGATTCAGGGTTTCGGGTTCTGCAGTGCCTCCCTCGAAGTCAGATTTACAGACAGACACGCATGGACCTTTAAACCCTAAATTCTGAACCTTAACAACCCTAAACCTGAAGCCTCGGCTAAAACTCTAGAGGGTTGAGTGGGGCTGAGTGGGGCCGAGTAGGGCCGAGTAGGGCCGGGTGGGTTTGAGGAGGGGTTGGGCAGGCCTTGGGGTCCCATTAAAGTACCTAAAACTATCAAAAAGTAGCTAAAATCTAGCTGAGGGCTAAAACTCTAAAGGGTTGAGTGGGGCCGAGTAGGGCCGGGTGGGTTGGAGAGGGGTTGGGCAGGCATTGGGGTCGCATTAAAGTACTTTAAAACGACTAAAAAGCAGCTAGAATCTAGCTCAGGAGTGGGGCTGAGTGGGGCCGAGTAGGGACGAAACTACACAGCCGAGTGAGTTGAAAGGTTGGGTGTGGCCTGGGGCGCAAGCAATTCTAACTTCTGGGCGCCGACCGGGCCAGGGGTCGGCGGATAATTGGATGGACAAGGCTTGCTTGATGAGTAGGCCACCGCAGGGTGATGCTTAAGAAAATACTCGCTAGCCGCAGCAAGTGAGCTAGATTTCTGTGGCTGTGGGCCAACTTGACCTGTAGGCCCCCAGGAGCCCGCCAAGGGTTTGCGTAATTCAGAAGACAGATCGCCAATGAATTCAATTGCAGAGTGGGCGCACTCTCCCTGCCGACAGCTTCACTGCCCCAGCCTGACGTGTTTTCATGTGATAGAAAAGTGCTTTGATGTGGTGACACACGTTCGTCCATTAGCTCAACTAATTAGACACAGTACTTGCTTCCTAGCTGCCAAGTCTTGCTTCCTAGCTGAAGCTTCGTGCCAAGTGAGTCCAGGAGACTTGGGTTTCTTTAGCACTACAGTGCAGGCGTGTTTTAAGTCGCAGAACTGTCAGGCTGCGTGCCGAATCTTCTGCGAGGCAGGTTGTTGATTTGTGTTCTTGCTCACAGCGTGGTGGTGTGAAACCCCCGGTCTCATGCAGTACATAGGGAAACTTGACTTCAGCTCGAAACAGCTACCGGTTCATGCCGGCGATCTCTGAGTGTGTGTCAGATGATAGTGATCTGCGAAGGTCAGGTCATAGTCAAGTGCCTGCAGCTTGCATAGGTTCTGCAGCCGCTGCAGCCACCGGCTGGTGTTCGGGCAGCCAGACTCGGTCCGAGCGCAAGCCAAGTGTGTCTTGTTTTTGTGAGAATTTTTGGGAAAGAAGGCGATGGCCACGGGCCCGACTTGTCGCATGCGACAACAAAGTTTCTGGAGCTCCAGCTCGGCCAGGCGATGCTAGGTGTAAGCAGGCGTTAGCAGGCCTTCCCCTCCAGCGTTGTAGCGGTGGGGTCTGGCAGGTTTCAGTGGTGCACAGCGAGGGATCCCTCGTGGATGCGGTGGAAGAAGGCTTTGCAGCGATGCACGCGAGGCTGGAGTCAGAGGCGGTTTTGGACCTTTGCTGATAGCCAACCTTCCAAAGGATTGGTCCGCCTCGTGTCGTCGTCCCGTGTGAGAAGCGAGAAGTAATGTGGAGGCCCAGAAGGGTTTGTCCTGGACGGAGGGAGGCATATCTGCTGCGAGGCACCGACCACAACAAGAGCTGAAGAAACGCCAGGCAACGATGAGTTGAGCACTGTTGATCACTGTGCTGTGGCCGTCTGGTGCACCAGACTTCGTGAGCTCGGCTCAAGGCCAGTTTCAAACGCCAGAAAGAAAAGCTTCTGCTTGAGCAGCAACAGTTCATCAAAGATCTTGAGCAACTTGCTACAATCAGGGGTCATGCTTCATGATCTTCATCTTCAGAGGATTCTGCTCTCAGCCCAGGGATCGACGGAAACCGCCAGAGGAAGACAGAGTCTTGGGTCTTGTATGGTCTTGTGGTACATGTCAAAGCAAGCTTTGCATGAGCAACGTCTCTTGCAGGCAGCTGCGTTTCCATCAACAAACCGCAGGCAGCGTCTCTTTTTCGATTCGCTCTCTACACGTCTTGCAGTTGCAGTCCGGGAATCGAGGCTAGACAAGGTTGGCAGACTTTGCAGCATCCTCTAAGTAGACCAGCTGCACATGGGTTTCGTGACCGTGGCAAAATGACGACGAAGCCGCGTCGGTCATCATGTGCGTGCTGGCAGGATGAACACTTTCGACTGCGGGCCCGACCAGGACGGACTTCCCATGTGCTACAGGCTGCTGCGATCAGCTATGTGTCCTGGCAGGATCTTGTGTGCCATACTCAGCTGGTGAGGTCGGATGTGTGTTCGTGCAGCAGGGTTCTGCTGGAGGCTGGTTTCGGACATCTTCCGCGACTTGCAGCCGCTGCTGTGATGGTCTTGGTGACTGGCGAAGCGTTGGGCATTAGAGAGCAATTGAGGGTTCCGGGCAAGGCATATGACGAAGACGGAAGAACATTTCGGACCAAGTCGCACAAACTTGTCCCCGCGGGCAGATACCACCAGGCCTTGGTCGGTGTATTTTTTGATGCCAGACTGCGAGATAATGGGAGCAGGTATTCGCAGGAGCTGCATCGGCGCAATGCTTCCCTTGTTCCATCCTTCCTAGAGCTGCTTGCTTGTAGGGTTTGGTAGCATCGCGAGTCCTGGTGGCTCGCACGGAAATCTCATTCAGGAGATACCCCAACTGGCCCAACTTCTCGTTGTTTGCCAGGGGCGAGGTCGAGCCACCTTCGAACACTGGTGTCTAGAGGAAACCCCCTACCAACACCGCGCGATCGAATTTTCGTGACTCCTTGGATTCCGGTTTGCATTTCTCCTGATTCGACCGAGCGATTCCGGAACGTGACCCGGAACTGGGGGGTTGGGGGAGGGGCTCCATTCCGCAAGGTTCCTTTCTTGCAGTCTCCTAAAGCAGGCAGCTGGATGGTGTCTGTCTTCAAAGGAAGAGAGACTGTGGCGAGATTTGAGCGTCGGTATGTGGAAGATGTTGGAAGCCTGGCACGACCTACGGAGGCCGGCGGTGAAGAGAACTTCATGTCCAGCGATCTTTGTCTGTCGAAGCACGGTGGCAAATCTGACCGTTTCAACACTTCAAAGAAGACAATGCTCAGAAATGCATCGCGCCGATTCAACAAGCACGAACAACTTCGGCAGTTCAGTGAAAGAGGCTTAGTACGCAATCAAAGGCTTGTCAGAGGACGTGGCGCAAAGAGCGGCTGATCCTAGGAGCTCCTTTGGCCACAAGTCTGTGGCTTAAGTGACCGAAACTGTTACGAGCTGACCTTCGGTTTGCATGCCTCCCTGGTGCCACGGGCCCTCCCGGAAACTGGTCCTGCGGTTTCCGGGGAAGCTTTCTGGACAAAGCCGGAAAGAAGTGGAGACCGCTATACCTTCTTTTCCAATCTGCACGTACTGAAAGCACCAGAAGTTCTGTGTTTTCTTTCGAGGAGAGCCAGTGAAATTATAGGTCAAGGCTCTGGCATATTAGCCATGGATTCAGGCTTCGTAGGGCTGTTTCTAGGGGCTGCCGCTAAATGTGCAAGGCCGAGCGAAGAAGGAACACATGCAACTGCTGGTTGTCATGGTTCGCGCCTTAGTTTCCCAAGACCTACGAATTCGGCGTGCTTTTGGCCTTCGCCAGCTGATTCGTCACCTTGAGGCGATACGAACGGAGCTTTTGCAATCCGGCGCAAGCTTCTGAGCCCCAGCCTCCGAGGCTCATTCAGCTGGTTGCTGGGTTGATGAGAGCTCGCAGATTGCAATGTACATGTCGGGCCCCACCTGCTTAAGTGCTTCCGGGCACTCTTCGGAGTCGTGTTCTGTGCACCGCATGGGCCATTGGCGCAGCGTCTTAGATGTAATCCTATCCGCTACCAGATTACCACCATCTCTACCGGAGCTCGCACAACGCAACTGCGAAGGGTGTTCTTTCGGTGCTCCAGCATGCTTCATGTCAGTCGGACAAATGCTGCGGCCACAGACGCCTTTCACAGATTTGTTAAGCAGTCGCGATCGCGGCGCACCACCTGGAAGCGTGCTGTTGACGCTTTCTACATCACATACCTGCGCCGACAACGCCACGGAGCCGAAGCGAAAGTCCTGTGGTGTCTTCTCGAGCCATAGTCATGCAGATCTTTTGGTCCCCGGTCGGGGTCCGCACCGATCCTTGGACCCGTTGGGAGATGGCTTTTTTTTGGCTGGTACTCATCTGCCGTGCCACCTTTGTCTCTTAGCTTGTGTTGGCTCTCGTACGGTCGAGAATCGGCAGCCAAAGTGCTTCGGCAAGACCCTGATCTATCTTTGATTTGGCAGAAACTAAAATAAATCTGTTCGAATGTACGCTTCAAGCCAGAAGATCGCACGTTTGAATTTCATGATTCGGTGATCAAGACAGTGCAGTGATGTTGCCCTTCCGGTCGACAGGATTTGGCGCATTTCGGAGGCACCATCACCACACATACTTGCTTGTGCTATCGGACGTGTGCTTTGTCAGGCACGATACATGTGTTCTTTGGACCGGCAGCAGTGTGGTTGGGTCTGGAATGGAAGGTGTGCATCTGAGTCTCATGGTAAAAGCTCACGTGTCGTGACTAGCGACAGGGGTCGGATTCGTGACTGATGGCGGAGAGGCTGTGTTGGCAATCATGTGGACGCGATTTGCTATCCTCCCTGCGGCTTCGGTCCGAGAGTGAGGTGACTAAGTGGCGGGGTCGAGTGGTCACAGCGTGGTCCAAGGTTGGGTTCCAGGATGTCTGCTCAAGGGTTGGCAGCTTGCTTGGACCATTATGCCCGACAGCTTCAGGCCAGGACATGCCGAAAGGGCAGCGTGGGCTGTGTTAGATGTCATGTCATATTATGTGATGTGCGCCTGCAAGGTACGGACCGACAATAGCAACTTCAGTCAGAGTGTGGCAGGCCTGCCTGCTCCACCTTGTTGTGTTCAAGATGCAACTCAGACGGTTTTGGCTAGCGACTGAGGCGAAAATCGACTTTGTGGAGGGAAAGCCTGTAGCCGTTGAAAGACAAGCCCAGGCAGAAGCCTCCGTCTTGAGCACAGTCGTTCAGCATAGTGTCCATGCGACAGGTGCCAGTAAAAGGCTTTGCCGTGGACTGCGCAGCTCACGGTGAGCCATTCTGCATCATCTTCTGGCCCGACGCGCAATTCCCAGCTGACTTTGCAACCTGCCTTGTGCTCGCCCATGCCGCGCATGCCGTGCCGAGATCACTCCTCCTTCCGAGTATGAAAGTATCGGCTTGGAAGTGAAGGTGTCTGGACTCACAGGCCAGGCGTGCAGGTGCGTGCAGGCATTCCGAGTATGCAGCGTGCCTTTAAAAATGTGGGTTCGGCTTACATAGAGATCTCTGTGCTCCCTGAGGACCAGCAGGCCCGGACTCAGAGCTGAGCTTCTTTTACCAGGCCACAGAGGAACTGGGGAGGATTCAGCTCTGACCCTGTCGGAGAGGTGGCACCCTTCAGGCAGGAGGACATGTGCAAGAAGATGGTGCTGGAGGTCCGGATCCCCCGAGCCCGGGAGCATCCCGTAGTGGTCATCCCGCAGAGGCGCGGCGCCTCAACGAGATGATCTCGAACCAACGCCTCTGGGCCGGCAGCCCGGGCCCTGGCCCTGGGCCCGGAATTTCGCAGAAGGCGCAGGGCCGCAAGGCCACAAATCCCAAAACCCTCCATCGATGCTGAAATAAACTCTAAACCATTAACCGCCAAACCTTCAAGACAACCCCGGCTTAGGTTTCATTTGAGGTTTCTTTAAATTCGGGATTGCAGCCGCACCCATTTTCTTTCAATGTTTGAGGTGTTCCACCCACCATTGCTTCAGCTTATCGTTCATGTTTAGGGTTTCTCGTACGACATCTCCTTTCAGTTTTTTTCTTGTGGTGTGAGGTTTCGCGTGCCACAAATCATTTTTCAACTTTTCGCTTGTGGGTATCGGGCGTGAAGGTTAGGGTTTCCCATCCATCATGTGCTTGTTCGTGCAGGGTTAGAATTTTCCATCAAACATTTCAATTCCTTGTAGGGTCTGAGGCCCCGGCCCTGAAAACGATTTCTACCTTTTTTAGGTTTATCAGTAGTAAAATACATGGCCTGATGTTGGAACTCCTACTAGTCGTAGGCATCGGCGCTGGCTCTCCGCTTCTCTTCGCATCTAGATGTACAGTACGGAAAACACCACCGGTAACCGAAGAAAAACCAAACCTTGGGAGTGACTGCTCACAAAAGGGTTCAGGGCGGGTGGCACAACTCTTTCCTCCTGCCTAAACGGAGCGACTGGTGCGATTGATGTTGAGGCAGACCAGGCAGCCAAAGACCACCAGGAGATTTGTTCTCAAAGCCCAAAAGCCAAAAGGTTGGTCAGAAGGCTGGTCCCCATCATCACAGGTGGAACAGGAGATGATTTGTGGTCCCTTGAAAGATTGCTAGTCTAGGGTTCTTGGGAAGGACCTGATTGCAAAAAATGAAAATTGGAACGTTAAATCCCCAAAACCCCAAGGACCCTGAAGGAAGTGACAGGTTGCCAAAAACCCAAAGTCCCAATACGCGGGGTGCACGTGCACGAGTCGTGCTTTGTCACTCGGAGGGGTAGCAAAAACACTACTAATGAGCGCGATGATTCGTTTTCTTTTGGCAAAAGCTGAAAACACTCGCAGGGAAGTTGCCAAACTCCTATTCTTCTGAATTCGTGGGGTGCATTCGGCAATCGACCCGCTTGAGGTAATTCTACTGCGTGTAAGTGAGACGCTTGCTTGCTGTGTGACAGATCTATCTGTCTGTCTGTCTATCTACTTATCTACTTATCTATCTATCTATCTATCTATCTATCTATCGATCTATCTAACAAGCCAACAAAAATCTATGCATCTATCTATCTATCTATCCATCCATCGATCCATCGATCTATCGATCTGTCTATCTATCTATCTCTCTGTCCGTCTGTCTATCTATCTCTCTCTCTCTCTCTATCTATATAGCATCTATCTATCGATCTGTCGATCTATCTGTCTATCTATCTATCTATCTGTCTACCTTTGGTGCGTCGGCGGGTTTGGGTTGGGCTTCAGGGAATCCCTCTTGCCATGGGCATGGGTGGTTCTGGCTTCAGTCGGCGGGAGTGTCGGTGGGTAATCGATGTTAATGTTGGGGTCGATGTGGGTAAGGGTGGGTTCGGGTGTGGCTTTGTGCAATCCCCTTCATCCTGTGGGTGCGGGTTGGTTTGGTTGTCAAGATCCAGCTTATCCAGCTGCCGACGGCGACCTGCGGATCGCGCTGGTTCCCCTTTCCCAAAGCAATATCACCGTCCTTAAGACCACAGTCGAGGACTACGACCCTAAGCGACCCATCCCTGTGACTGTTAGCATGCTTGCGACATTGCCATGGTCGTGATCATCATCATCATCCTCATCATCATCATCCTCATCGTCAGCGTCACCACCATCATCACCATCAATCATCATCATCATCATCATCATCATAAGCGCCGCTAGCGGCTCAGACCCCAGGCCTCCCACACGAACAGGCCGTAGCGAGTCTCGAACCAACCATTCAACATCCTCCGAGCCATAGCAACGCTAAAGAGGAGAGGTGCCCTCCCTCACACATGTGCAGGGGGGGAATGGTCACCGCTAGCTGGGTCCCAAGTATGGTCCCAAGTCCCAGACTCTAAAACGTAGTTTTAAGCTACTTCCAGAGCAACGTGAGTCACGAGGTGACAGGAGTGCGTCCTAAGGATTCACGAAACATAGTGGTCGGCGTAGACTTCGATGCACAAGGCCTGCAGAAAAATGCTTACAATTCTGCAAGAAGGTGGTTTCAACAGGCGAGCCGGTGAAGTACAAGGGTGGCTATGTAACTCCTGCAGAGGTCCAAGGATTGCTCCCGGCAAGCTCGGCGCATCCGAAGCTACAGCATGCGCGTAGTCCTGCACAGCAAGACTCCCTATCACGGCGCGCGAGGGGGAGCGATGTCTCAGAACATTCGCATCTACAGCTGGAGCGCTGGCCTCTCCCAACCAACTTGGGCTGAACCAGAGACATGGCTAGCAAACCCTGAAGCTTGTGCGCTTGATGCTATCCGCGTGCAAGAAACGCATTGGGTAGGAATTGAACAGTTCAGGGCACACGGTTGGACATGTTTTTGTTCGGGTACAAAGGACAAAGCAGACGGAGTAATGGTACTACCGTCACCAAAGATTTCTGACACCACTATCCGCTGGCGTGAGGTCATGCCGGGTAGACCACTTGAGGCTCGTTGCCACATTATAGGGGTGCGCAGTGCATGTTCGTGAGCTGCTACCAGTTTCCCTGGCGTTCTAGCGATGATGCTTCGAAAAATCTAGCACGTAGGACTAGGGTGTTAGACAAGCTGTCCAATGTCATTGCAGTAGTTCCCATGCGACACACGGTAATTGTGGGGGGCGACTTCAACATGAGCCTCAGTCCATTGCCTGACCGCGTTGGACCGAACATCCTCCGCTCCCGAGACAAGGGCCTCACGGACAATCACGACTTCATGAGCTCATTGAAACGCAGAATCTCAGCGTGCTGAACTCTTACAGCAGTACGCAACGGATACACCTTTCAGCATCCACAAGGGCGCAGTCAGATCGATTTTGTGCTTCCCCGGCAGCTCAGTGCGGGGAACCGTGCCAAGACTGCAAAAGCCGTGTACGACTTCCCTTTGTCAGGTTGGAAAACCACCAAACAATTCCCGGTCGCTGGCATTTGCCCACCAAAACCAAGTAGATGATCTGGAAACTCCCGGTGACGGAGCTGAGGGCCGAAGTTCAAAGCAAGCTGACATGCACCGGATGACGTCAACGAGCTTCAGTGTAAGGCCGTAGCTAAAGTTTTCCCTCCGCGCCGTAACCCTGCCGCACCAGAGAGCCTTGAACAGCGCGTAGGATGTGGGATGAGGCCCAAGGGTTTCGTATGGCTAGCGCGGAGGCCTCGGTTGCGACCATATGGCACCGCTGGCGAGTATGGTCCAGGATGCAAGCTGCTGCGTTTCAGCACTTCAGCACCGTCGGGCAAGGGCCAACCAACGCAGCCAACAGCTAATAGCAGAGGTAGAGGCCAATGCCATTCAGGGTCAGTCTTATCTTGCGTACAAAACCCTCAAACTCCTCAGCGGTGGGCACCCCGTGTGTGTTGAATTCTCTTCTACTGCGCCAGCGCGCTGGCTTGGGCATCTCAGGCTACGGGAATTCTAAGTGTTGCACACTTGCACATGCGGCATTCGGTCAGTCAGCAGAAGCGGAGTTCTCGCGTTAATTTGCACCTTCAGTCTCAAAGGGCCTTGACTGCAGATCTGCTACGACGCACTTCCGTTGTCTATGTGGTCTTCGTTCTCCCGGATGTTTGCGAGGTGGGCAACGTTCTGGAGTGGATCTGCAATCAGTGCAAGCCAGTAGGCTAAAATCAGCAGGTCCTATGCCGAAAAGTCGAATTGCACGCCTGAATTATGAAGCGCACATGCAATGTACATGCAATGGACAACTTCGATGTATCCACTGCAACAAGCAGTTCGCATTTCGGTCTTTTGCCGGCCACTTTTTGTCCCACAAACCTGTCCTGTCTGCCTGCCAGTGTGTACCATGGCCAGTCAGCCTCCGCGCAGCCACGAGAGAGCTCTGTTCAAGGGGTGTCCGCACCGGGACTCGCCCTGCAGCCGTCCTGTGCGAATATTTGAACAGCCTGCTGTTAAGCTGGCTGCGGAGCGAGGCAACAGAACTCGCCTCTCTGATGCGGGACGAAGTCAATAAATTTAAGGGCAATGTCTGCAGGCACAAGTGCGTGTTTGCAACATGTGCGAGCCGACAGTCCGTGCATGGACTCAGAGCTGCAGCGGCCCTGGCCAGCCCTGCTGTTGGTGTCGAAACATCCTTACAGGTAGCAACTCAAGCGCACAAGCACTCCTGTGCAGTACTGGGACACCTGTTGCAGCATCACCATACTTTCAGTGCTTCAGGTCAGACATCCCTCGCGGACTATGTCGGACCAGGACCACTGGAGGCGGAGCCAGGATGGAATCAGCTCCCCGAAACTACACAGCCACCTCCACCTCAGACTTCTCAGGAGCAGCAAGTGGCAGCCTTCTTCCGCACGGCGCGAACGGAGCCCAACCCGGAAGGGAGGGAGCCCCATACGACCAAGGAAGTGGAGGAGCTCCACCTTGGTCGTCAGACAGGCCGACGCCCTGTCGTACCTCCATTTGGACGTGGGCTACATGCTCATGAAGACAACGATGAAGCCTCGCTTGGAATCCGAGACGGAAGCGACTCTGGGACGGTAGCAACTTGTGCAAGGTTGCCAACAAGTGGCGTCAGGACAAGGAGCGCAGCCCGGACTCCATCACGACAACGCTTGAGACAACGCTGGTCTACTGCCTCATCTCAACCTCTTGGAGAGGGTCGAAAGCTCGCAGACCCTCAAGCAGAACTTGATGTTTTCTCGTGTGGTGCTCCGGTTTCATGCGCTTCACAAGTTATCGGGAGCCATGCAGTCGGAAGTGGTGACCTTCACGACTTCACGTTAGAGATTCACAATCGCTGCAAGGAAGCTCAAATGACATACCAAGCCTTCGACAGGCTTTGCCACTCTTCGGTGTGGCATTTGATAGGAGGCACATTGCGGCCGAGCAAGTTGGGCGACGTTTGGAGAAGTCCATCGAGACCGCGGTCTGGAGGTTCTAGATGCCGTGAGTCCCACGGCACCCATACTGCAAACGGCATTAAGCAATCGTGATAGATTCTGTTATGCCAATGCCACAGTCATGGCGATGCTATGGCAGCTTGGCGCATCAGGACGTGCAGTTTTGCCGGCTCATACGGGCAGGCACCACACACTGCAACATTTGTTAGAAGGCCCAGCTACCATCACAGACACTTGTGGGATCAACCGATGTGGCGACATGCACTTGGGTTTTGGGCTTCAGGTGGCCAGCAGGATGGAGCTGAGTTCATCCAGAAGCCACTCCCGTTGACAGCAGCGCTCTCCTCAACAGAGTTTAGTTCGAACGCACTACCATCCTTAGTAGATCAATGGAGCAGGCAAGCTCAACGCGACGAGGCCCATACCTATGCCACCACTGTGAGCCCGTCGGCGCTTCTGCTACAAGTACGAACATCGCTGATTCCTTCCGTGGCGATTGAAACAAGAAAACCATCATCATCACCATCATCACCATCCGAGTCAATGATCCATGGTGTCTAGGTGGTGAGCCTTGGGCTGTACAGATACGAATATCTAGGACAGGCGCCCGGACCCCATGAATTTGAGACTGGATGCCGTTCACATGCTTTTGCGCCATTCCAATTCCTTGAGCTGGTATTCCAGAAGTTGTGCCCGAAACTCATGATCACCACCTTCTGGTGGCTTCAACTTCAGGTCTGCTTGGAATCTTCAGAATGATTCCTTTTGTTTTACTTCAAGACAGCCGCCGTTCGCAAATTCGGCATCGGATGTCGCACTCGATCCTTCTCTCTCGTGTGGCGGCCTGGCAGCCAGAATCAGCTGTTCAGGTCCAGGCATCAGCTGTTCTGGGTCCTGTTGCCATTGCCCGACCCGGTATCTCCCCTGGTTGATGTGGAGTGCAGCACATACTACAGCATAACCGGAGTGGCAGTATGATGTATGCCCGCGGCATCCCACATCATACATATACCGGCAGCGAAGCGTGCTGGTGCACCGCGCAAGAACTTCGTAAAGACCTGGGCAAACGTGCGCACACACTGTTGCTAAAGTTGGGGTATGTTGGGGTCGATGCAAGCGGAAGTACCCGGGGCCAGCCAGCGGAACGGGTGGTATCTTCCCTGGTTGATGTGGAATGCAGCACATACTACAGTATAATCCTAGTTGCAGTATGATGTATGCCCGCGGCATCCCACATCATACATGTACCGGCAGCGAAGCAGGTGCGTGCTGGTGAACCACGCAAGAACTTCGTACTGACCTGGGCAAACGTGCGCACGCACTTTTGTTAAAGTTGGGCTATGTTGGGGTCGATGCAAGCGGAAGTACCCGGGGCCAGCCAGGGGAACGGGTTGTTTCCACGGCCCAGTCTGCGCGAAATAGTTCTAATGGAAATCCATTAACAGCCTGACAAAGGAGGCCAAGCATCCGCTTCAGATGCAAAACAGCCAACCGGTTTTTGCGGCCTCGCTGAGTGCCCATGCAAGGACTTCTCGACAGTTTCGCATCGATGTCGAATTTTTCACTGTATGCACCGTTCTGCAATGCCAAGACCTACCTCCTATTCCGAGACCACCTTGTGAAATTTCACAAGACCCTCGTGACACCTCGGCTCTGATCTATTTCAGGGTTGAGCTTGAAACCGGTTGAGCTCTATAAGGAGGGGAGGATTTCACCCCCAACCCCCCCCCAGGAAAAGGGGATACTGATATGTTTCGGAAAAAATCCCGGAACGGAGAAGACACCTTCCGAAACGCCGGACGCACGACCCCAGCATCGTTCGTTTGGCATGGGTTCTCTCTCAGGTTCCCTGCCGGTGGACAAGCCGAGGCGGCTTCGACGAGTGCCTCGATTGACCTTGAAGCAGCACCGTTCCTGCTAACATTCAGTGTCCCTGCTGGGGTTTGCACACGTGATCACACCAGCTTCATACGTCAGTACTGAAGCCTTCCACAGCCACTGGCTTGTGCGGCTTGTTTATGCTGCTTTTTGACATAGTGACATAGTAGCCATATTTGATGTGCATGGTAGCTGAGGCGAGTGATTTCCTGCAGCAGCACAAGAGTGCTCTTCAGCATTTGTGGCTTGTTTATGCTGGTTTGACACTTAAGTGCAGGATTTGGTGGACGCTCCTCGATTGCCAGGCCGATGTCCCATCCAAGCATGGACATCACTGTCGACGGAGTCGAACCTCGGTCGAAGTGTAGCAACGTAGCATGCCTCGTAGTCGTAGGCCTGGCATGGGTGTTCAGGATTTGGCAGTCACGATTCGGGCGCCGGTTCAAGCTATCAATGCCGAGCTGCGGGCTCGGAGAGATTTTGTTGAAATTGTTACGCTGATGCGCGGAAATTTCTGCTCTCCTTTGGTCTTCTGCAGGCTGCATGTGGTTCGCTTTGGAGGCGATGAGGACATCGTTCCAAGGGCTGCGCAGGCTTGAGTGGCCAAGGGCAACAGCTTTAGCAGGGATCCTTTCTGCCAGGCTCAGCGGCTGCCGAACTGGAACTTTCTCATTCGCGTCAAGATACCGCTTCCGCTTGATCCCCAAGCTACACCGATACAAATGCCTCTGGTGCTAGCAGAGCCACGAGGCGCGCCCGGTACCAGCTGCGCATCCAACCAGACTCGGCGGAGGACAAGTGGCTTGAAATCTGAAAGGATGTGAAGGGTCATGCTTGGCATGACCTGTGCTGTCTTCGGCAGGACGGCCCGGGTCTGTGCTATTCCATCAACTTCAACGTTTCTTGACTCAAAAGAGCACTGCTCTTTTTCGGACTGTCGACAACCTCAGGAAGCCACAAGAGTTCCAGCACTGCTCACATCATTGGATGTGCTTTGGGCAGCAAGATTACCGTCTTACCGTGTATCTGTGTACTCGAGATGTGGGCAGTCGGGTCGAGCTGGCGCACTGCGTGTCTCTCACAGGAGCCACTCGCAATGAAGTTCGGATATGCTCCAATGACCTCAGCTGGGCAGGCCCTGTGCCAGGAGTAGAGCTGTCCATCGACTGGAGCATTGCTGCGAGGTTCACGGAGTTGTTCTGTTGAGCCCACTGATGCGATTGCCCCAAGCTGCGTTGCAGATGCCATCACATGCTTCATGTGGCCGGAGTCGTTTCAGTGTGAGGTTTAGAATACCTGCCGGGACAGCATATTTTCTCATCTGGGTCAACAAGGCTGGCCCGGAGCTTTGCCGGCACCGGCAATTATCAATGAGAAGTGTAGTGTGCGAACTCCAGATGTTTCCGCAGAGTACTGCTGCCAGTTTCGCAGTAACTCGCAATTTGTCGTAATGCCGACAGTGTTCACAAGGAGTGCAGTATCACTAGCAAGAATGGAACACATATAGTCAGCAAGGAGGTCACGCGATCAGACCGCCAACTCCGAAGAAGCTCTCCGATGTCCTAGGTTTCCGTAGATCCCGTCCGATTGACATGCCATGTTGCGTATTGGCGATGCCCGCAGTCAGTCAACTGCAGGGCCGTTGTCTTCAATTTGTCGGGTTCGTGGTGATGCCCTTTCGAGCTTGATACGCCCGTACCGATCACTCGCTCGTCGGTCTGGTCAGGCCGTCGCCTTGGAAGCACAGGAGCGCTGAAGCCCAAACCGCAAGCAGATGCAGGCTCTGTGCCATCCAAGCTCCGAGCTGCCAGGAGCCCGAGAAGTCCACGGGTGCAATCCTGAGACAGGGTACGGTCATCTTCCCACCAGGGTCCCACTTCGGTTTCTTGGATAATGGACTCTTTCTCAAAACCACAGACTTACCACTCAGAGGAACCTCAGCATTTGATGCATGCGTGGTGGTGTATGATGCAACTTTCCGGTTGTTGCAGCTTTTGTGGTGTTTGTATCTTCGTGCCTTCCTTTGATGCAGAAGCAAGCGGTGTTGCCCGTAGTTGCATGCTGATGATGGTGGAGGCCTCACCAGTCTCTTCGCCTCGCGTTTGGGAGCTTCGCCTCCTGAAAGCGTCCGGAGCAAAGCGGAAACTTCTCGTGGAAAAGGGAGGCTGCCTTCAGTACAAGGTTCAACTTCCAGCCATGGCGACGTCGAAGGGCCTAGGGAAGCTCGCGCCTGAGATCCACAACCAGCAGATCTTCCCAGTTTCTCAGCTTTCGCTCCATGAGGTCGACTAAAGATCGCAGGTCTGCTTTGCAAATGCTTCAAGCTCAACTCAGTGGTCAATTTGGCCCTTACGTCCAGGACTTTCGTCTTAATCTTGTGCTGGCATGCCTGAGAGATGTTTGTTGGCTGAAGGACTCATCGGGAGATGTCCATTTAGATCTTTCCTTCAAGGATGGCAAGTGCAGCATCCTCGTATTCTGTTGTTTGCGAGTAGTCTATGCGTCTTCCGGCATCGGCGCTCTTCCAGCTGTGACCAAGTGACCCGAAGCTTTCTTGGGGGCAGCCAAGAGGTTGCGGGAAACGGGCACGGCATCATGCTACACGGAATGCCAGAGTTCTTATGGCGGCCTGGCTTCCTGCCTGATGCTGCATGGTTGCTTGTCGACGACCGGGGATGTAGGTCGATGGATGTCAGGTGTAGGGCTGCAAAAGCCATGCTATGGTTTGAGAACCAGTGATGATCCAAGCGTGATGGTAAACTTGATAAACCCTCCCCCCCACTTCACAACTGACCGATGCAGAAAGCATCCGCGAGGGATTGACGAGTGAAGAGTGGTGAGCTCTATGTTGGAAGTGGGCCGAGGTCCTAAGTGGACGCCGGCCAACGTATTCCGAGCGACCTCCCGTGGACGCGCGAGACAATCAATATGCTCAATTGAAAAAGCTGTTGAACAGGACAGACAGGCAAAGGCAAAAATGAGGCGAAGGAAAGAGCAAAGGCAAATGCGAAAGGTTCTGTAGGACAGTTTGTCGTATCTGTCAAGAAGGACATTGGGAAGTTGAGTGTCCCAAAATTTCGCGGTCAGAAACGTGGAACGTGAAGAGGACAACCACCGATCCTTTGCAGTAGTCAGTGCCTGAAACTCCAATCTGCAGCCATTCTTGAGTAGTCTCCCCATTGAAAGCAAGACATTCGTTGACTCACTTGCTTGCGCTGACGATCTCGCTCAATGTGGAAGTCGACTCCTTGTAGCTCAGCCATGGGCCCAGACCATGTTCTAGACAGATTGTTGGTGCGAGGGTTGGTTGGTATGTGAACAGCGAAGGTGTGCGGCAAAAGCGACGTGATTCGACGAACTCAACGCACTCAGTTTTTCTAACCCCGATTGTTTGTTTCGCTTGCGAGTGGCACAGTATCTCACCCACTCTCCCTGATATTGCTACAGGAAAAGCATGGAAAAGCGCATTGCGCGTGGAGTCGGGAACCGCTGTTAAAGCGCAGACTTGTGTGCGCTTGCACGCTTGCAAAGATGCATAACGCCAAGCCTTCGCAAGGGCGAAACTTGCCCATGCTAAGCCCGACAAAGCCCACTGCACCTACTTGGTTTAGGGGTCTGGGGTTGGAGGGTTTCGGGTGTAAATTTAAGGGTGTATTTGGGGTTCAGGTTTAGGGCTTAGGATTTAGGGGTTTGGGGTTTATGTTTCAGGGCTTATGGTTTAGGGATAATTGTTCAGGGTTTAGAGCTCAAGGTTTGGGGGTTTAGGTTTGGGTTTGAAGTGGTAAGCAGCAGGGTTTAAGTGTCAAGTGCAAGTGTGCAAGTGGTTTCGTCCGCTTGCGAACGCTTCGCATTTACCCCAACTTTCAAGTCCAATTGCGAACAGTTAGCGGTTCCTGTTCCCCTGCGCACTGGAGTAGTGTTTGCCCTTAGCTGCTTTTATCGTTTAAGCCGCGGTCGGAGTCGAAGAGGAAAGCGCATAACGGCATAATACTGCAAAAAGATTTGCGAGACGACAAAAGTGGTCTACACAGGAGCTGCAGTGGGAACTCTGGGAGTGGGAGAGAGCAGATAAAGAGGAGAGGATTGTCAGAAGCTCAGGTGTACGACGACTGCATGAACGTCATTTGCTCGGCTTGCCGCCAGTGGCGGCTGTGGTGTGCAGTGCTAGGCTTTGGAGGATGTGGCCCTGGCCCCTTGAGGTACTGACATGCCGGGTTTGTTTGAAGGCTTCCTCACTTTCGGGCAGGCGGCTTGCTTTCGCGCTCGGCCCATGCCCAGGCTGTTTGTGCATAGCAACGTGGACTGCCAAGAAATTACCTTCTTGCCCCCGCATGCTTTGCTGTACCACCTTGTTTTGTCAACACAGGTGTTATGTCGAGGTGAATGCGCATTGACATCTCCGTAAGCAAGACTGCCGTCAGCTGCCGGCTGTGTAAGCAACTTGGAGTCTTCCAGAAGTTGACGCTGTTAAAGCGCAGGCTTCTTAAAGGCGGCAGTGGCAGCTGCATAGTATACAGAGATTGCCCATGTCAGGGCAATGCGGCATTTCGTATCCCAACTCTGGCCCCTTCTGCGATTGCTGTTTAAGCGACTCCACATTCCGAGTGCTGCCGCATGTCAGATCCACATCATCAATGGGCCACACAAGGCAGAAGGACCAACATCTTGGCTCGGAAGTTGCCATTACAGGGTCAAACTTTGAGAGTTGTTGACAACAAATTCTTGATACTTCCAAAGTAGTGTCCGTATACCTCGCCTGACAGCGTCGAGCGCGAGTGCCAGAAAGTAGTGTAAGGTTTACGGTCGTACTCTTGCATGACAGTAAACGCCGAGAGAACCAGCACAGGAAGAAGTAAGATCGCGTAAGAAAATGCGAGATAACATAAGCCGTTAGCTTCCTGCGCTTTTCGAGCTCCTTTTTCTTTGTAGCCCTAGGAAATTCGACACGTGCTGTTCGATGTGCAAAGGTCTTGTGGCCTTTAAGAAAGGGAGAGAGAGAGAGAGCCGAATTGTTCATGATGTAATTCGCGTTATGACCGGCGTGCAGCTCCCAATGCATCAAGCCACTGCAATACTTCGGTGCCATGTGGAATGGGTGGGTTCAGATTGAAGGTGGATGCGCAATCGAAAGTGAAGCTCTTCTTGCGTTTACCAGGCCGGGCCCTCAGGCGGACTCTGGCCTCTGAGAGTCGCCATCTCTGAGTCTCGAGGCAAGGATGCGCGCGGGTACAAACCGCGGCTACTTTGCGAGTGGCTCATTTGTCCGGTCGCTTAGCTTGCAGAGGCTTGCAGCCTGTTCGGAGCCTGCGTTAGAGATGTGGACCTGAGAGGTCGTGCGCATGGTGAGCCCCTGCCAAAAGGCTTTACTTAGTTCTCAGAGACCCCGACTCACCCTTTCTCAGGTGACTGCCGGCAAAATGCTAGCGGCGAGAAGTGCTTGACAACATGTCAGCATTTAAGCCCCAAAGGGGACTCTGCCCAGTCAAGCATGCAGGGGCACAGCGATCCGATTTTGATCGTGAGCCGTCAGCCTGCACTTACGCTAGTAGGTTCGATGAAGGCTTAAGTGCAAAACAAATTGGTTGAGCGTGCTGAAACATGATGTCAATGTTTACTTATTTTTTCTCTATAGCTCTGCTGCATCGCATCATATTCTCAATGTGGGCACTAATTAGGCAGCGAAGAGCGGGTGTGAGGTGCTAAATCCGTGAACTTCACGTGATGCTGCAAAGCTAAGACAGTTTGTGGCAGCTTCTGATCTCCGCTTGGCTTGGATGGTAGCCTATTGCCGGAGATGACTCTGACGCATTGGTGACGTTTTTGTGCCCTGGTTCAAGATAGTTCGAGGGGAGTGTTGTGCGTATGTACCGACAGCGTAGAATTAGTCAGAGAGCATGAGACAATTGTTGCAATCCAGTTTTGCAATCGGTAAACGCCTTCCTCAGCCTTCCTCAAATGTCTCGACATCCAGCTGCCAGAACGAGGCTTCTGCGTCAGTTGCTCAGGTGCCCGGCCGGAAAGTATGATTCTGAGGAAGAACAGCAACATCGGCATACAAGGCACTTAGACCACATTGGAGTCTGTCTTCTCCTCGCACTTTACGCAGCAACACTGCATTCACTCTCATCTGGAGCAGAGCTGCCAGTTCTGGAACCCCCGCGACTCGTCGTCGCTGCTCAGCTGGCAGTTGGACTCCTTGCTGTGTTCAATCTCTATGTTGAAATCTATTCGTTGCCTCGTGGTACGAAAGAAGCCGAAGATGACTTCCTGGTAACATATGGCCCTTTTGGGAGATGGGTTTACCTCACTCATCAGACGATCGGAGCTTTAGCTGTCCATGCTCTTGCTTCGGCAGTGTTGCCTTTTCTCAGCAGACGTTTGGCCTACGGCAACTACCGCTTAAGTCCCGTGATTGGCGCCTGCGGAGTCTTTGTGACGATCCAGTATTTCAACCTCGTGAAGAGGCATCCAGAGCATGAGAAGGTTTGCCAGCTTTGGGCTGCTCGCGGGGTACGCTTCGGGGTTTTGGACGCTTTGCGTCACGTCCTGCCTATGGGCGTCAGCGTCCTGGACATCCTCTTCAAGCACCGAGACACACTCCTTGAGGCCATGCCGTCTCCATCGGGCCTTGTCCGCCTTCATCTGCTTTATGTCATTGTCTTCCTGGTTGGCATACACCTGAACCACCATTTGACCGGTCGTTGGCCCTACGGGTTCATGAAGGATTTTGGCTTAAGCCCAGCCCGGTGGCTTATGTTCTTGATAGTGCAAGGATCTATTTTGTCCGCATGTGGCCTGGCATTGACTGGGCTTGCAACTCTATCTCTATGGTGAGCTGGTTTTCTGCACTGGCTCGGTGTCAGTTCTACAAAGTCCATCCATTCAGAGTCACCTGTACAAAACAACATTTTTAAGTCTGACGGGCCCAACAGTGTGACTAGCAAGCAAGCGACCGCAGAAAAGTCTTGCTTGTCAAGATCTAGTGGCACATGAGCGAAGAGATGGCACACAGGAGACCGCAGTCATGGAACAGGAGGATTATCGTTCTTGGTGTGTTGTCACTCGTGTCGACATCTCTGGGCCACTCAGCCTGCTGCCGCTTATGACCGTGCAAGAGGTAAGAAGATTCTTGGCGTAGACATCTTGAATCGAGGCATCTCATGGGTAGTCAGGTGGCCTGTTGTCCCGAAGCTAGCAGCACGTCCCTGGCTGTCGCTTCCAGAGCTGGCCTGAGCTCACGATGCCGTCAAAGCGCATCCTGAAACGATGGCAAAGTGAGGCATCGCTTTTTTAATCTCGAGATATCTCGAGACATTCTGAGACTCTGAAGGCGACGCGCCGTCGCCGTGCTGCCTTGGCAAAGTACCGTCAGGCCGATCTGCCCGGAAACGGCTTCCCTTGTCAGCTTCTTGCGTGTCAGGGCCTGAACGGCAAATGGGAGTCGAATGCCAAGAAGGCACGCTCTGGGCTCTTCACCAGGCCACGATGGCCTCTGACTCGCTTTAACTTTCAAGTGGTTGTCGCTGCAAGGGTGCCTGACCGTGTGCGGATCTGCTTGTTTAGTGCTTTGCCCCTGTCCTGCAACGTTTAGGCTTTGGCAAAAAGAGTTAAGCAGAAGAGTCTGCGCATTGGCGCCGTCCTGAAGTGATACTAGCTCGTCTATGGATGTGCTGAATGTGGCAGAAGTGAGGTCCATTGCTTGCACGCTGCAAGGCTCTGCGTTCCCCATCCTTTCTCCCGAGACCCGTTGACATGTCGCCTGTCAAGGCTGCGCAAGATGCCTCTCTAGAAAGGAACCTGGCAAAGGCCCACAAGCTGGTCAAGGCGAATCTTGGTAGATTCGTGCGAGCAGTCTTTCGACCGTTTCAGTGCAAAGTGGCAGGTGCTCCAAGAAGCGGACCAGGTTTGCCAGCTTGAGAGAATGCAATGGTTGCAGACTGATGCGCAGGGCTCCTTGGGGATATCATGATATGGGTGAGTGCATGTCTGGGGTGCCTATAGTAAATCAACAACCCTACTACTGCACGTGATGCTGGGCCGCCCGGGCCCGCTGGCCCGCTGCTGTTGTAGCCGCAGTGCTCTCAGGTTAGGCGCCCAGGCCCAGGCCAAACAGAACCGGCCTCCCTTTCGTCCTGTCCTTCTCTCCGTTTCCCGTTCCTCTCCGCCCGAGCTTCCTTTTCCGTTTTCCCCATAGAGTCCCGAATCTTGTGCGGAGGCAAGATCTTCGAGGAACGATTGCAATGATTGCTTGGCTAGATTCTCACATGCCGTCTCTATGCGAGATGTGTCTCACGGCATGGTGTGTCGAAGAGGGCGATGCAGGGTCAGCAAAGACGGAGCAACGACATGTATTGTGTAGAGTATGTAGAGTGGGATGAGGATTTCTCCAGGCTTGCAGAAAGTGATAAAGAGAGACAGAGAGAAAGAGAGAGGGAGAGAGAGAGAGAGAGAGAGAGAGAGAGCGGGCAGGCCTAAACAGCCTCCCATGCCCTGGCGAAGAAGAGCGGGCAGGGGGCAACCCCTGTCCCTAGCCCTGGCGAAAGAAAGAGAGAGCGAGAGAGAGAGCGTCAGCTACCCGCCCTCCCGTCAGCAACTTCCACCCATCAGCTACCCCCTGCGTGCATCAGCAACCTCCGCCCGTCAGCTACCCCACGCCCGTTAGCTACCAGTACCAGACTTCCCCTCCGTCAGCAACCTCCGCCCGTTAGACACCAGCCTTCCCCCGGTTGGCAACCTCCGCATGTCTATGCGTATCCCTCTCCAGAGACCAGCTTCCGCCCGTCAGATACTATCGATCTATCTAGCTCGCTAGCTAGCTAGCTGGCTAGCTATGTATCTATTGATCTATCTATCTATCTATCTATCTATATCTCTCTCTCTTTTTATCTATCCATCTATCTTTCTATCTGTCTGTCTGTCTATCCTATCCTATACTATCCCATCCATCTATCTATCTACAAATCTTTCAACTCAGTTCAATTCTATCCTATCCTATCCTATCCATCCATATCTCTCTCTCTCTCTGTTGATGTTTCTATTTATCTATCTTTATCTATCTATCCATCTACGCCCACCCCCCGCCTCGGGTCCGTCCTGGCCCCCGTCAGCAACTGCGCCCGTCAGCTATACCCGCCTCGGCCCGTCAGCTACCCCGCGTCACCCCGTCACCAACCTTCGCCCTTCTATGCATGTCGCTCCGGAGACCAGCTTCCGCCCGTCAGAACTATCTATCTATCTATCTGTCTATCCATCTATCTATCTCTCTCTCTCTCTCGCTCTCTCTTTCTCTGAATCGCAGAATGTTACACATCCAGGTGTCTGTCTGTTTCACGTATCACATGCATGTAGCTATGCCTGTTGCTCAAGGGTCTAGCAGAGCACTGATCTACAGCTGGCAAACGGAGACACCTGTGTTTGCCTGTGTTCCTGTACGCTTTGCAAGGGGATACACGCAAAGGTTACTATCTCAACGTGGTAGCGGAGCTCCCGGAAACGGAAGCTCGGTACGCTCCAACGTAGTGGAGGCAACCGGATCTCCGGTGTGCTTCACCCAGCAGGTGAAGGTGACCGGAGTCTCTCCGGTCCGGTAAACTTCGCCCCCGCCCCCGCGCCCCGCGTGGGGTCGGCCCTGCCCACCCTGCACGCGTCAGCAACCTGCACCCGTCAGAGACCAGCTTCCGCCAGTCAGATACTTTCTGTCTATCTTCTAGCTACCTTCCTTGCCCCCGCCTCGGGTCCGCCCTGCCGCCGCCCGTCAGCTACCCAGCGCCCGTCGGCTACCAGCCTCCGCCCCGTCAGCAACCTCCGGCCGTCTATGCGTGTCCCTTCAGGCAGCTTCCGCCCGTCAGATACTATCAATCAATCTATTTATCTATTCATCTATCCATCTATCTATCTATCTGAATTTATCTATCTGTCTATCTATCTATCTCCCCCCCGCCCGGCCGCCGGTCAACTACCCGCCCCGGGGGGATGGGGCTTACCCGGCGTACGTTCTGGATCAAAACAGTCTTTTTTCTCTTTTGCTCGTGATCAGTGACCTGACAGGACGTGCTTTCACAGTTGGTGCCGCAACTAGAGTCGCTCCCAGTGACGGCTGCTCTTCTGCGAAGGACATGGGCAGGTTTGAGTCTCCTAGTTGGAGGCTGGAGGATCGCCCAGTCGCGTCAACACAGGACACTGATTCCGAAATTTCTGCGCGAGACGCTATGCTCTCAGCGAAGCTTTCCATCGTCACGTTACAATCGAGATACGTGGAAGGGCATGCAAGTTTCCCAGCATCAAGAGCAAGGCGCAAAGCCAACAGATGCTGCACGCACTTCGCATCACAGTGACATAGGTGACCCCCATCATACAGAAGTGGCGCGAGATCTACGTGAAGGAACCTTAAATCATGATTTTTTCGCCGGTGCCATGGTAGCCCTTCCTGATGTTTCTGCACTAGGACAGAGCAAGGCAGATTGGGCAGAAGAAGGCCAGACAAGTAATGTGCACGCACCAGCCTGGTGACTAACCAGCGTGGAAACCGTTGTGCGACAGGAGGCCTTCAAGAGGAGCAGGAAAGGGACGCAGGGGTCTTGCTGATGTCTCCGGGCATGGTCACATGACCTCTGTATACAGCTCTTCGAGGCCAGCGACGAGCCAGCAAGCTTCCCAGATCTCCTGCCCAAGTTGCCGCCTTTTCTCAAGATCTGTCGAGGTCAAGGCCCGATTTGCCGCTGGAGCCGGAGCCCACGCAGCCCACGGAGCCTGCAGATGACTAAGTCTGGGTCAGGATGATCAATGGATGAGATATCTGCGGGCTCATGGCCCCTGCAATGGTTAATCTTAAGAGCGGGGACGAGCGGCAGAGAGGGAGGTGCTGAGGCGCACAGTCTGTCACACAGGCAAAAGACACGCGTCTTGTGTTTGCACTTGCTCAGATTGGAACCGTGCGTGCACGACGTGCGGCATCGCGGAGCGCATGTTCAAGAGAGTCGCAGGTACACGTCACTACAGCTGGTTGCTCGATAGGCTTTCTCTTGAACACAACAAGGTGATCAAAGCACCGTGAGGCGGCGTGGGATCAATAAACGATGCTTTTCATGAGCTCAGCTCCCTGTCTCCTCCGTCCGGAGCTGGAGTGATGCGCTGAGCCAGCTAGATGCGAAATACTTTGGGAAGAGGTTATTTTTTTGTGCTCAAATCGACACGCCACCAGAGCATGGGAGGCATGTTCTTATTGAAACAAACACATATTGAAACAAGTCCGAAAAATCTTGACGTCAAGGCTGGTCCAGACGGCAAATGTATTGGTTTTCCATGGACATGGCATTCGTCTTTGACCCGACTGAAACTACAGGCCATCGGCAGGCGCAGGGAAAGCATCGAATTCACCGGTTTGGCGCGCTGACCAGAGCAGAATCCACTCGTCCTCCGCCAACCTTACCAAGGTGAACACCAGGCAGCAGAAGGCTCCAATGAGACAGCGCCGCATCACTTTCTTTATGCACAGCTGAGGCAGCTAGAAGTAGGATGCAGTGGCACTTAGTGCCTTCAATTCGAGTTTAGGGGTTTCCGATTCAGAAATGGGGATGGGATAGCAGTGACTAGGCAGGGAGAAGCAGCGACGAACAAAGCAGACGCTGAAGAATCGCATTCGCCAGTGGATGCCCGTTGCTGCGGTCCTTGTGCATTGTGCTTGCCTCTTAGCTTTCTGCTCAAGTCTGATCTGTCGGGAGAGTCATTACAGGGCCATGTTTTGATGTGCCATACAATTGCTGCGATTCCCGAATCGTCGCATTGGCCATTAGAGGCAATCTTGCAATAAGAGAAGGCAGGATGCACATCCTAGTTGGATTGTTTGGCAATCGTGGAATCTTGAGCATGCCCCATAGATCTGCTTGTTGCTAAGCTTCCCACGGTTAAAGACACTGCCTTCCAGTCCCACCTTTTTCGATCTGAGGCTTTAGCTGGTGTCTTCCATGGCATGGAGCATCCAGGACGGGAACCATTGCACCTTGAGTGATACGGCGGAGACTCGAAACATCGTGCACCCTTGCAGGTCCCAGCCTCAATCAGGCATCTCCCTTACCGGCTCGCTTGGGACGCAAGAGTGTCTGGCTCCACTGCGACAGGCACTCCGAGCGCCTAGACTACAAGAAGAGTCATCTTCTCAGCTCTGTCGCTGTCATTCACTGCAACAGCGCACTCGCCATAGCCAGGTTGCAGACAGCACAAGCTCTCTGCCTGGATCTGGACGATTTCCGTCAGAAACGCTTGCTTGTTTTTTCGGATTTTCGGTTGTGTTGGAAGTGATGCACATTGCTTGTTCTTATTCTTACTTCGTGACAGGCTGCAGCCTGTATGGGTCAAGGGGCGCATGGAAGAGTCCGGTCATGAGGCCAGCGTCCAGCGGCCGAGTGCAACAATGTGCGACATCAAGAGCCATGCCTTAGGATGCCGAGAAGCGTTCGCTGATAGCCACGGCCATCTTCCTGGGCACAGCGCAGGCAGGAAGGGTCCAAAGTTCTCATGTGCAGTGCATCAATTCCACCGGACCGCTGGCCATTGAGGCGCAGGTAGAGAGAGATGCCTACCACTTCTCTCCCGCCCCTGACCCTTCCCTCAAAGTGGTGACTGCGAGGTAGGTGACCGTACTCCAGCCACTGCGGCTTGAGGGCCGATCCTTCGGCACTGCATCATAATCGTACAAGGGCTGTCATTCCGTGGGCATGGGAACCAGTCCTCACTTCCACTCGCAAACTCCCGCCTGAACCGACCGCCGTCGCACCTCGCACAGACGGGGTGGCCAGGTAGCAGGGCTGCAGCATGCAACATGTCCATACCGGTGAAAGCCATGGAGACATGGCTCATCGCATCTTCTTCACTACCAACCTGGGCCCTTTGTATTGTAGTAAAGGGGGATGTGGAGAGAATGATTACGCTGAGGGCAGGCCGTGTACTGGCAGGGAGTCCTTGAATTAGGGCCTTGATTAGCCATTCGCGCACTCTGACCCTAGACGGGACGTACCCGTTGTGAATCCGTCGAACAACAGGGGAACTAGCTAGCATGCTGTCGGTTTGGCCGCCTTCGGTCTCCATCGAAAGCTGCTACTGTTGTGGGCCTTAACTAGTTCAACTTGTTCCAGTAGGGGGAAGACTGTCGCACTGGGGAGAAGCATGCTTCTCGGTCAGTGAGTGAGCTGTAGATTGCAAGCTTCCACAGGGCATTGACAGAACGACCCCTGGATGTCGGGTCGAGCAACCTGCAAGCTTGGCAATGCAGTGTCTCGCATTCTATACAGTGTTGTCCCTTTCCGATGTGTTTCCCAGTGTCCTAGTTGTGGGCCCGGCTTTACTACATCAGTGGGAGCTACGAGTTGCTGTGTAGCTACGCACCTAGAGCTGGGACAAGAGGGGACAAGCGAGCATCGTGGCATGAGTCGATCAATGGCTTGTCATGTGATACTTGGCTTGTGTGATGCTATAGCGGGGAATCTCTGTAAGAACGAGTGTGCCAGGCATGCCTGAAGGGCTGCTACATCACAGCGACTGCCCAGAAGGCCATTGCAATACCAAGACAGCCTTGGAAAAATATCCTCTGTAAACAATGCTTATTTTGAGCATCTTTGTCCGCTTCTGGCAGGTGGAGTGTGGACATCTGGTCAGACCTATATCCTGCGTGCATCCTCCAACGAGCATGCCATCTGCCAGCTTGCTAAAGGTGCTCTTCAGCTTGTACGGTCGTGGTGCTGTCTGAATCGTTGCTGCTTCTGCACTTCCGCCCTCGCCCCCTTTATATCTACCCACCGTAGGGCTGCTGTACGACGCTCGAAAATGACGCTGTGCAGTCGGAAGATGTTGGAAACCACAGAGCAGATAACCGGGTGCTCCGGGAGAGTGAAGGCAAAGTCCGCGACTGAACTGCTGAGGCACCCAACCCTGCAATGCCCTACAAGCCTCCACACGGCGAAACCTCATGTCGAAAGCGTTCTCTGAGCTGCAAAACTGGCGTCGGACTTCACCAATCGGGTCATCAGGGGCAGGCCACAAGAGAAAGCTTCATGAAGCGGCCCGGGATGCCCGGGGCAGTCGGCAGCAATTCCCAATTTTTTGGATCAAGGTTCAGTACCCTTTCATCATAAGCAGGCTGGCAGTTCAAGCAATGTGGAGGCATCGGGCCAGATGCAGCAGATCTCCGGCGCTCGTTGTCCGAATCCTGGACTCCACAAGTGATGATGATGGAAGTCTTGGACGATGAGGGCTTCTTTTTTGGCAGGCTGTGATCCGTTGGATGTGGCTTTGCAGCTTGCGAAATTGCCACACTGCCGGCGGGTAGCAGTCTTGAGGCTCTTTGTCCCAGTCTTTTGACGAGAATGAAGCGAGTTCTGGGACTTTTGCTGCTGCTTAAGTTTGACAGATGCACGCCCTTTGAAGCTCCTCGGAGTCTTCAGCGGAAGTACAGTCACATTTACGAGGACACTGTTGATGGTCATCAGGATGTGTGGACATGTTGCGTGAGCATTTGAGGACCAAGTCTTCCTGCGAACAACCTACTTTGAGGCTTTTGAGCGTTTGGCGCGAGATCTCCCCCTTCCGCCAGACGAAGCGATCAAGGAGGCCAAGCCCAATCAAGCCCAAGCCGAAGATTTGTGCGTTGCGATGCGTTGAGTTGGGCAGGGCTGCGTTGTGTACACCTCGGGAGTTGGCGTTCTACGTGGTCCATTGAAGGATGGGGTGCCGAAGCCTCGAACACTACAGAAGGCACGGAGGCGGAGGCACGGAGAGACCCGGCCGAGGCCATGGCTGGAGCAGCCTCCCCAGGTGGATGTGGTTTGGTGCAAGCCCCGACAGGGCAGGCTGTGCAGTCGTGCTGTGCGGTGCCGTGCCTTTCGCCAGGTTCGGCTTACCTGCCCACCCTGAGATCGGGGAACAGGAGACCTCGTTCTTCCGTGGAGCTGCTGAGTGGTGAGTCGAAGCACAAGCAAATCCAAAGCAATATTAGGCACAGGGGCAAAAAACAACAATCAATGATGACAGCATAGCAGAGAAGCGGAGCCTTGTATCAGTTCCTACGTTGTGAATATAGACGAACGGAAAGGCTACAAGGACGTGAAGTGACGAACAACAGGAAGAAGAGAAGCGGAAAGCAGCCAGTGTTAGGCAGGGGGAACAGGACTAACAAGCTCCCAGACTATTTCGACTGTGAGTCCAAGCACGGCAATTGTCGCTACGGGCAGTTGCTGGCAGGGTAACCACAATAGCAACAAGGCAACAAGCACAAGAACAATGAAGCCGAAAGCACGAAAAATAGTTGAGGTCGAGGCATGAGTAACAACAGGAGACGTGACGAGACACCAAGACAAGGAGGAATTGGGAGCCTGAAAGGTCCAGAGAGCTCCAGTGTGGCAGACATTGACACGTAAGTCCTGCAAGAAAAGACCATGTCAATGTGAGGTGAGTCAAGGCGTGTTTAGTGGCTGTTTGTTGGCCAGGAAACTTATGCCCGAGAAGAGTCGGACACTTGAACACCATTCAGCAGCACCGATTTCCCGATGTGAAACTGCCAGGGATGGCAAACTGGTCAAAGCGGCTTTGGATCGGGCATTTTCATGGGCTTGTGTCCATGGTGCTGATGCCATTGTGATGTAGGGATCCCGGTTCATGTGCGGCGGCCCTGGTCGAGTTCCTGTCTCACTGAGGCCAGCAATGAGCGGCTTGGGCAGTTTCCGACACCCGAGGCGAGATTGCGTGGGAGCCTTTGTTGCTTTGCCCTGTGAGAGCGAGGCTTCACTTTGGGGGGCTGGTGCATGAGGCGCAGCCTGTGGAGCAGGTGGGGGGTTTCTTCTGTTACATGCTGAAACTGCCGCATAGGTTGCTCGCATGCACCAGCGCCACCTCCCCATCGTGTGCGTGGCTTCAGACGCTCCCGCTCATCGAGGGGTGCGCCATACACGAATCGTTGCGATTAGTCGGCTTCGAACGTTGAGCCCTGCTGCCTTGCTGTGTGACCTCGAAATGCAGTGGAGGAATGGTGGCCACCCTTCGAAGAAGCTGTCCGCCGGCTAAGCAGCATATCTCTTTCCGGATTGGGTAACATAGTTTAGGCAGATGTGCAGGTGACGAAAGGGCGCCCAGTGCCTCCGGTCCGCCTGCCCATTTTTTCTGCAATGGCTACAGTTGGGTTTTTTGTGCATGCGCTTGGACACTTGCAGCCCCTCGTGCACGTTCCACCGATCCCATTGATGAATGACCGCCTGGTTGGCAAGGTCGGAGACTAAGTAGGGATTGATGTTGTGCCACGTGGCAACAGTGAGAGGACAGTTCAACCTTACTGGAAAAGCGCCGTAAGCAACTGGGTGATCGGTGCTCAGCTGACAGTACTTGTTCTGTATCTGCTGATAGTGCAAGACATTTCATCCGCCCGTTCGCGTTGAGGTTTGGTCCATTCATGGCCGCACCTTTCGCAATGCATTCATTTGAGGAAGCCATGTCTTGGCCCATGGCCCACCCAGGCCGGCTGATAAGATTCACAAATCTTCACAAGTCTTTGTCAGCTGCAGCGACGAACAGCGAAGCTCGGCTGAACTTTGCCGAAAGCGGGCGGCCCGAACCTGGGGTCTGAGCCGGCGAAGCGCTGCGATGTGAAAGGATTTCAGGGAGGACGTCCATTTGCGCGTGGTCGCCCGGAGGCTGCCAGATATTTTCGTGCGCATCCTTCGTGGCTCAGTGCCAGCACCCGGCTGAATGTAGACATGCAAAGCATGACGAAGCTGCTTCGGCGGCTCCTCGTCCTTGCAGCCGTGAGCCACCATGTGGACGCGATAACGTTCAAGACGGCAGCAAGGGCTCCAGTCCAGAAGGCAGGCCAGGGCGATACTCAACGGCATCGGGAGTGGGACGGAGTGCGGATGTAATGCTGGCCTGTACAGCTTTTGGCTGAGTGTTCTGCGGTCCTGCTGCTTTTAAATCTGTTTGCTGTATGCTATATTTCCAGTCCTGTTGCCGCTCTTGGTTTCTGTAGTTGCCGAAGTCTCTGCGGGGTCGTGTCTCTTGTAGGGTTTTGTCTACTCTACTCGTTGCCAGCTTGTCGGGACCGAAACTGTCCGAAAGCCAGGGCTAGCGGAGGACTCAGTTTGGGATCCAGGGATGCCCGTGTACCTAAGTAACATCCTTATGCTGAGCGTGCAGGTGTGTCGTAGAGGCAAGTGTTGGCACGTCAGTCTCGTTTCGTCCTTTCCTGCTCTTTCTCTGATTCTGTCTTCCCGGCTATCTGCAGGTCCGGGAGCTCTTGCAGGCCATGAGGCAAGAGATGGCCGAGGATGCCGAGCGCGATGAAGCTGTGCATGAGAAGCAGGCCCGGGTTTGGTGTGGGAGAGTGCGATCTTTTCCAGCTCGTTTTAGTATGTTGTTGGAGTTCCGCCAGGCGGCTTGTTGGGGTTGGGGCACTGCGCTTGGGATCCATGTTCCATTGTCCAGCACTGTCCAGCATGGCAGTACAGAGCTAGAGACCCTCAGCAAGTCATACCACTTCGTCGTAGACTTGTGCATCTCGGGTTAGATGGCCACAGTCATACCCTTACCCTTGCCCTCACACACCATGTATGTATGTGTGACCTTATATGCAATGGATGACGCTCAGTGACAGTACGATTTGGAAGGCTCAGCACATGCGTCAGAATGCCAGCGTCCAATTGTTTCTCCTGCATTCACTGTAGCTGTGGTAGCCAACAGTGTCCTATCGCTTGTCCTCAAACAATGTACCCGGTGGGATGGCACTGCTTGCAAATCATGTCAGGCCTGCTGGTGCAACTCGAACATCTATGCCAAGCAGTCTGCAGAGCACCTTCTGCATCTAGAAAAGCCCGGCGCCGGCAGAAACGACTGTGATGACTGATGTGTGACAGGTCTCGACCAACCAAAACCAAATTGCAGCCTTGACCAGCAGCAACAACAGGACTGGCACCAAGATTGAAAGTGCGATGCGCGAATCTGCAGCAATGAAGTGTTTGTGCGGTCGGCTAGGCTCACAGCAGACACGGCCCGCTGGACATCGGAGTCTGAGCAGATGACGAAGGCCAGGCAAACAGCTTGAACATCAAGGCACCCAAGCACCCAAGCACCGCGCAGACATTTGCCAGGACATATCAGATGCCGAGGCCAAACGCAAGTGAGCCATGAAAAGCAGAAATACCAGGTTGTGATCAAGTGGGGTGCGCTTCTTGCGTGCCAACACATAGCCAGGCGGATATGGTATCTGCAAAAGAGCTGCGCCAGGGCCAGCAGCAGGCCTTTGAAAAGCTGCGGCCCTGGTGATATGCAGACATTGCCAGACCCAGCTACTCGAAGAGGAGTAGCTCGACATTGTACAAGGAGCTTCCCGGGTTCTACCAAATCAGTCTGCTACCCTCCGCCGGAAGCGAAGACCCTCTCGCCGCTACGCCCACAACCTCCCACAGTCACATCGCATACACTCCGGAGGTCCGGGCTGGGGTGCACTGTCATAAGTAATTTTGCCCCGGCTTGTCTGTGATCCGGAACGCGAAATACCCACCGTGAAACCCACGGCTGCATTTATTAGGGTTACTGGATTGCCTCTGGGCTCCACCCGCAACCTCAAGGGCGAGCGTGACGAGGCACGCGTGGGCTCGTAAGACTTTAAGAGCTCAGAGTGATTGTTCTCCGTTTTGCTGGTGCGATGCAGAGAGCCGCCACGGTGGTGTACTGATGCCGGGGCCACTTGCATTGAGGGCTGACACATAGGACTGCTACCCACAGTTGTTATGCATTGCACGAAGTGCTTAAAATAACAACCCAGTTGTCGCTGGAGGCAGGGTCTTCACAAAGGTGCTGTCGAGCTGTGGCTCGAGGGTGTCACCAGGTACCAGCTGGGCCATGTGCCCGCTGGGACTTGGGGCCACCAAGGTGAAGAGCCGTTTTCCCCACCCACCCACCCTTTTGCTTTCGCTCTCTTGGATAGCGCCAGAGGCCGCTTCGGGTGCCTATGGGTTATCCGCGGATTCCAGTGGACACCCGGGCTTCGTCTCCACTGGAAAGACCGCCAAGCGTCCGAGTGCGCACCGCGCCCGAGTGCGCACGGGGACTCCTGATGTCTGACCGTGCCGTGGGGTAGGCATGCAGGATAACCCTCGGGATCCCGATACCCAGTTGCGCCCACTGGTGTTTGGGAAGACCGTTAGCGCAAAGATTGCGCGCCGCGCCCGAAAGCGCAGCCGAGGAACCTCCAGCTCAGCTACCTCGTCAGCAGAGCGTGGGCCAAGTGGCACCGGCGAGGGTTTCGGGTTTCGGGGTTGTGCGGGCTGCCAAAGGGGGCGCCCGCATCAAGAGGGACGACTAGGACCCCGTTCTGGGGGAGGTTCCTTAGGGCCCCTCCCTGTTGCACCTCCTGCACTAAGGTACTGAAAGGAGGAAGAAAGAAGTAGGAGGAAGGAGAAGACAGGTGGCTCCCGGGGGACGCCTGGGGGAGCCATCGGCTCCTTGCCCAAAGTTAGAGGTTGAGCTGTAAGTCCTGGCCCGCCCTCGAAGAGGACGGGCCGGGCGACCGTCGAGCGAAGGCTCGCGACCAGCCACCTCCGAAAGAAAAGAGAGCATGTCGTGCCGGGCGGATGGGTGGGGGCACGCGATAACCAAGAGTTGTTATGTTCTGCTACTGATCAGAAGCACATGGAGCTGCTTTGCAAACGCAATTGTTGGAGTCTGGCACGAGAGAGAACATGGAACTTCGACACGATTGCTGTTCTGTCTCTGTGGCTATGTGAGGCTTGATCGAACACGAACAAGAAGATCCCCAATTCACACCTCCACAGCCAAGACCCTGCTGCTTTTCCTCACTCCGAGCATCACCACCCTCTTCACCATCACTGTCACCATCATCATCATTATCATCATCATCGTTCTCGTCCATGTCCTCGTCCTCCCTCGCCCTCGTGTCGTCGTCGTCACCATTATCATCATCATCATCATGATCGTCGGCATCGTCTCAGGTTCATTCCACAGTCTTCATAGGTCCAGGTGGTGTTAAGCCATTAAGCACTATCGCGTTTTGTCCGCACAGCGTATGAGAAGACATAATATCAACAGACACTGTCCTTGTCAGCAATGGAAATAGGCTACAAAAACATCAAAAGGCCGCCTGTTTCTTACCGCAATTTGCGAGTTGCAGGCTAGGAGGGCCGCTAGCATCTCCGGGATAACAACTCGCTCGACAATTTTCAAAGTGGATCGCGGCGGGGAGGTCGATGTTTTCGTCAAAGACGTGGTCCATGAAAGAAAAGCTTGTGATGATGCTGAATCTCGGATGACAGCTATCGTGCATGTCACAGAGATGAGAGAGTTCGGAACGCCTATGCGGAGGACCATCCTGTCGTGATCGAGGTCGCCAATCTTTTCACTGTAATTTAGGGCTTTTCCCCGCTTCTGCCAACTCACAATTGTGGTTCGTAGGACAGTAGGGTAGCAGTCACCCGGGCTGTTGTGTGTCTGATGCGGACAGGGAGGGGGAAGGAGGAAGGGGGAGGAGAGTGGGTCGTGTCGCGCTGGGGCGGGCCTGGCTTGTGGCCAGCGTGTGCCGCGAACCCCATCCTCGTGCTCGTCATGCTTGAGTTTGCATCTTTGATAGCTGCCAGTGTCTTCACTTGTGTTTCCTTCTGCCTTGTGCTTGCACCCGCCCTCCCGCCCTTTATGGGCTGTCGCTGTAATCACATATGTGCCGTGCGGATCCATGAGGCGTTATTGAGAGCTCTCATCAATGAGCCAGTCTGTGTGCCCGAGTGCACTTCCGATAGGTTGATCCCCGGCGCTGCTCCGTTGTGGGACATGTTGTGCCAGGGTTTGTGCGCGGTAGGGTTCTGGCTGGGTCTGGGGGGCTTGCACTCTCGCCTTGTTGGGGTTTAAAGTGGAGGGGAGGGAAGGAAGGGAGTAAGGCGGAAAAGGGTGAGAAGGAGGCCGTCTCGAAACCGTTGCAAGCGGAGGCGCTGGCATCAGGGGCACGATGACCTTGGGAAGCTCTTGCTTGCGGTATCTTGCGCTCTGCGCCGCGAGTCGGGGTCGGCGGATACCTGACGCGAAGCCTCGATTGAGCCATGCTTTCCTGCTAATATGCAGCATGCATGTTATTTCGGTGTTGACTAGCCACCAGTCCGAGCCCCGGCATCCAAGTGTAGAGACAATCCTTCTCTGAGGGAAGAGGCCCGCCTTGTTGGCCTTGTCAGTGAGATCGACGAGGCTTTCAAGCAGGTCGTCCAACCCCCAGCCCAGTTTTCTTCTCTTAGTGCTTGTACGTATGCTTTGTTCAGGAATCGAACAATGAAGCAGCTAGCATCCCAGCAATCGACGGCCACAGCTGACAGATGTTACTCATGTTCTCCTGCGAGGCAGGAAGCTTGCTGGCAAAATACCAGAAGGCCGAGAAGTCACGATGTGATTTCTGGACAGCTTCCCGAAACTGAAGAGGCTTTCCGCACCAAGATGGACACAGACGTGGGGAGTTCCCCCTACTTGAAGACCTTCCTGAACATGAACCTTTCAACTGGCAGATCTTTCTTGCAGCGCTTGGCCAAGGGGAGAGGCAGTGCACACGGAAGCCGTCCTTGCTCGGTGTCTGAGGCGTGAGCCCCTGAAGGCCGAGGCGAGGTTTTCCTTTTTTCGTGAAGCTTTGCTGTGCCTTTGTGATGGCCACATCGCAGGGTGTTGAAGCCGTCCTGAACGGCATCAAAAACGACACTACCGCTACTCTGACTGCAGCACGCGGTCAGGACGCTGCACTTCACATTCCAATGCATTTGGTGCTACAGGGTTTGCGAGAAGAGTTTGTGAGATGCACGGATGTTGCACCGTTTTGGTTTCGCATAGCTTTGGAGTCTGGAGGTCGGAAGAACCGTGTACATCGGTTCTGACTACAGGAAGCAAAGCACTAATTGCATGCATTGTGAGGAGACTCGACGTATCCAGTCCCATACAAAGCTGCTACAAGACAAGGCGACCCAGGTCAAGGCGAGATATCTGCGACCGGAGCTGATGTGTTTTTCATCCAGACCTTGCCGTTGCAGGCGCTGGAGCAGCAAAAGCAGGACAGGCGCAAAGCAACGGCGGACGCAGCTGAGACCAAAGCGAGCAACAAGGACGTGTCCACCTTGGTGCAGCCTCACAGCTCGCGCTGCTAAGTCGGTGTCACGAGTGTATATACTGAGATCATTGCCAATCTCGAAGTCCAGATCGCGGAAGATTCCGCGCCACGGCCCAAGTGTCACGGTAAGAAGTGCTTCGGAACAGCACAGCATCCCCATGGACGTGCAGGTTTCTGGCCGATGTGAAGTCAAGATGCCAGGCGATGGATCAGGAGAGCGGAGAGCTGCTGGAAATTCGCAGTATATGCCGCGCCAGTGTAGTAGACGCAGTGGCCGTAGTGTTTTCGCGTGCAAGGAGTGGGCGCAGCGTCAAAGGACGCGAGCAGAGGAAGTTGAAGCGATCGCCAAAGCAATGGAAATACTGAAAGAAGAGGCTGTCAAAGAAGCCTTGTTACAGGACACCGCGCACTGCTCGCAGCAAATGAGGGTAGAGGGGTTCCGTGGAGGAGCCAACCAAGCAAAGTGCAAGTTTTTGGGGTCACTTCAACGCCGGCTCCTTCCTGCAGGCCACAAACGGCTGCCTACTTTCCCCTCACAATTCTGGTGACCCGTAGGAACAGGCTGTGTCCCACGAGCGCAGGAAGCTTTCCGAGGCTCTATTGAAGGCGTACAGGGCCCGCATGTGACAGAAGCTTGTGCTAGACATTGTTAGCTTGTGTAGGTCGGTCAGCGGCATGACCTGCGTCTTGTCACGCTGGCCTTCCGAGCCAAGATCGATAATTTTGCGACCGTCAAGAAAGTCAGACGCTCAAGACACTCATGCGGCCGCCTTTTCATGGATTCGCCATCCATACCGTGGCAGAAGCTGGTATGCACAGAATCCAGCTCAATATCCGACTGACACCAGCTGGTTCATGCAGCGAGCAGCTAGTCTCCACGTCTTGCCAAAATCGGTAGTGGGGAAGTACGAGTGGTAGTGCCGTTTGGTATAGTGCTGCACAAACTTGTGCCGGACCACTGCGAGCTGCAACTGTTGCATATGGAACGAAGTCCTGCAACGTTCTGACATTTCCTGAAACTTTCTGGGATGCAACTATGGACTTCACTCACTGTAGGTTTGCTTGCCAGATGTCGTTCCGGTGCATGTCGCGAAGCAGACGCAAAGACAAAGCAGGATTGCAGCGATGACTGTCTTTATGTCTTACGAAGAAACA